TCATCTGCGACGAGGACTTCGCATATAAAATAAGTCTTCCGTATTTGTGCACGTCATACACGGCTGAGGCTTTTGCAGTTAAATCTGCTCTACAGTTGATGCTTGTACAGGCGAATAGCAGAAGCAATGATATCGTCATACTGTCGGACTGCAAATCGGTTTTGGAATCTATCCGTAACAATCACCTTAATGTCCACAAAAATAGATATGTTACTGAGGCCAGAGTATTGATATATGATTTAGAAAGAATTCATGGTAAAAGAATTGTGCTCGTTTGAATCTCCGCACATGTGGGAATTGCTGGCAATGAGCTTGCGGATGCTCTTGCGAAGGAAGCGGCTGATAAAGAGGCGGACCCTTCTATCGAGATCCCGGTTGAGGACCTTGTAATGCTGATTCGTAAAGAAACGTGGGATGCAACCCAGGAATCAATAATTCGTGATTCTGCGCACAAGGGTGCCTTCTACTTTAATAATTTATACGACCGATTTGCAGTGAGACCCTGGTTTCGGGGCATTAACCTGGAAAAGTATTTTGTCACATTATACAATAGAATCAGGGCTAATTACTATAATCTCGGAGTCTCGTTGAAGAGAAAAGGATATCGATAATGAGAGGTGCAAGTGTGGCTATGAGGGAGAGGATCTTACAATTAGACATGTATTTCTGCAATGTCATAAATATGATGAGTTGAGAGAATTTATGGATTTGGAATTAAGAGCTGAGGAATTTTTCGAGAAAATCGATATCTATCGCCTAATCCAGCAGAAGAGACTGAATGTTTTATATATTATTTTTAAATTTTTTAAACAAATTGATAAGGTCATCTAGTTTAGTGGTAATGTTTTACAAGGTTTAAGCGGGGAGCACACACTTCTGCACAACGCATAATGCGTAAGCATAAGAAAATTGATTGGTCCATACACATGTGCATAAGGAAATAGACCAATCAATTTTCTTATGCTTACGCATTATGCATTGTGCAGAAGTGTGTGTCCGGGCCCTTACTGGTGCTGTGTCAATTGCCTGGATGCATAAGACACCATAATCTCCTCAACCGAGGAACTGAAAAAACCCCTCCTCATCTCCAACAGATTTCTGCCGTCCCGCTTTATTTTTCACCTCGCCTCCTTTCGGCTTCCTTCACGCTTACCTTTCTTCTTCCACCTTCCCTCTCCCTTATAACACCTTTTTCCGACGCTCTTTTCCTCCCTTTCTACGTTCCACCTGTTCCCCCGCCGAGGTAAATATATTTCTACAAAATACAATCAAATAATTTTTTGCAAAAATCGATTCCTTTTATTATTATGCGTATAAAAATATAAAGTCATCGAAAAGTAAATTTAAAATATCTCAGGAAATTCTTAATAAAATAGAGCTTCATTATAGTGTTTTGAAAACGTCTTGACAAGGGCAAGAATATGCAATAAAAAATGGGATATTCTACCCAGTAAGCAAGAAACGTCAAAAAACATTTTAACTATATTGCATTAACATTACAACGTTGCTGCAATGTAGTTAAAATGTTTATTGATGTTTCTTGCTTACTGGGTATTTAAGAAGACAGATCACATTGACCTGGCCTTGAAAAAATCGCTCAAAGTCAATTCCATATTTTTATCATCTGTTCCCCTTAATATCCTACAACTTTTATCTAAAACATTTTTCTTTATCTAAAGCTGTTTCTGGGATCCATGGGGTTGGGTCAGACTTTAGAGATACCCTGTATCTATATATATAAAATAGAATGTCTGTATGTTTGTATGTATGTATGTTCTTTATACACTCTTAAACTATTCGACCGAATTTTTACCAAAAGTATATGAAATAGGGGTAGAATTTTCCAGGGAGTGTTATAGAGTGCATAGTTTTTCGTTACCGATTTTTTTGGGAACCGGTATCCAAAATTTTTCCAATTTTTCGGGAAATCATTGACCGAATTTTAAATAATTGTATATGAATTAAGGGTAGAATTTCCCGGGGAGTACCATAAAGTGTATAATTTTTTGTTATCGATTTTTTGGAAAACCGGTATCAAAAATTTTTCCAATTTCTTGGAAAATAATTGACCGAATCTTAAAGAATTGTATATAAAACAGGGGTAGAATTTCCCGGGGAGTGCTATAAACTGTATAATTTTTCGTTACCGATCTTTTTTGGAAACCGGTATCAGAAACTTTCCAATTTTTCTGAAAATAATTGATCGAGTAAAAAAAGATTGGTTACGACATGTTTAATCTATGAACACTCCTTATGTTTGTCCACAATAAGGATATTGAAACATAAATGAAGTTGTTTTAAGAAAAACAACTCCCGGGCGAAGCCCGGGTAACCAGCTAGTAATAACTATAACTATAGTTATATATTTCAAATATATAATTGTCTATATTATGTTTTTCTTTTTATTTAGAAAGTGCTTTACTGTGTAAAGCAGCGGAAGATTGAAAAAAAGTTTAGCAAGCCATTAAAACTTGCATTTTGTAAACATTTGCATTTGTACATGCAATTTGTGAATTTATTTTATTTTTACTCATTTTGAATCATTTTTGTTTTTAAATAACAATGCAAAAGTGTGAATTTGGAGTAAAATTTCTAGAAAATCTGAGAATTTTTTTTACAAAATTTGAGTAAACACCCTTATTGAAATTTCAACATTAGTTTTTATAACTATTTTATAACAAGTTGCTGTTTTCTTTAATTGATTTGCAATACGCGTGTGCAATACGTTCAACACCCACACAGCACAGAGGTAGATCCTGAGAATGTATTCAGTATATCACAAACGTAGATTGTATATATCCTGTTGATATCCAAAATACGTCTATGATATTTTGAGAACGTACTGAGGATGTTCTAATGTCTGCCCTAAAAACTTACTCAGTATATACTGAGAATATTTCTTGGTATATTGTGAGTATATTAAAAAAATATTTTGATCACATTTTACCAGTATCTACTAGAAAATATTTTTCTTGTTAACAAATCAAACAAATAATTTTGTTGCGTTAATGCAAACAAATTTTTGAATTTTGCTCACTGTCGACTCTTACCGAAGAAAGTTTAATGCCCTGCAAAGCAGGTATAAACGAAGGTCCCGGATGAGGAGCACACTTCGTAAACAAAAAGGGTTAGGTCTTAAGTCAGAGGCTCTGCTAGTGAGCACATCCTGACTGGCAAACTTGAGAACGCTGGAGAAACCCAGCCGAGCTGCCCTAGATATAGAGAAGTCAATGTTGAATCTTAATTACAAAAGAATACTGACGATGCGCCGCGTAGCGGGCGCGAACCGAACTCTCCTGCCGCGCGAGCCCGCGCTGCCGCCCGCGTGATAAATTTCGAATATTGTTAAAATATCAGTAAAATAATATACTATTCTGATAAATTTAGCATATCCTGAAAATATTCGATAAATAGACCGAATATTACTGATAAATTTCGAATATTCTTAAAATATCAGTAAAATAATATACTGCAAAATATATTATAGAGATATTATCAGTATATCTTGTGTACATCTATAGTATATTGAGTATTAATTCAGTATATACGAATGATATCATGTGCTGTGTGGGCAATGCGTGTATGTGTGTGTGGATACATACATATATACATACATATCCCACACAGCACATAATATTGCAGAAATATTGCAGTAATATTGCAATATAGTGGAAATATTACGTATTACAATGAAATATTTCAGAAATATTACTGATGTATTACACGTTTTTAAATAATATTGAAATATTACAGTAATATTGCTGCAATATATTGTCGAAATATAATACTTTAAGTAGCAAAATAATGTCAAATGACATTTTAATAACATCTTATTGATCTCATTAAGGTATTACACAATTATACGTATTGCACAGATAATATATACCAGTTAAAGAATTTTGGACTAAAAGAAAGAAAAATCTAAATCAAAAAATGTGATAAAATCAAAAGAGACTGACTTGTACTTTTGGGGAATAAAAGTGATTAAGATAAATTTTATAAGTGGTGGTATTTGATTTTATAACTTGTTATTTGTTTTGTAATAATAAAAGGTAATTATATATGCAATTAATTTTTAATTAAAAGCCAGTAAGTAAATTGATAATAAAATAAATGGATAAAATTTAAAATTTATATTTCTTATATAATCAACATCAAACTTTTCAAATTACGAGTTTGTCACACGGATAAACAGAACGTTTCTGAGTGCGTAAGTGGAGGAAAGAACGCTAGTGTGTGTGGCTATGCGCTTGGTCGCAGCACCGACCCCCACCATTCCCGGTCTTTTCTCGCTGTCTCTTGCATGGCTCCGTGGGACCACGCAATCACGTGTACGACACCGCACAGAAACAATCGTTTTAATTTCAGGTAATTTTTCTTTATTTAATAAATATTGTTCACACAAATATTTTTAAAAGTATTTTTGTATAATTATTACTAATATGTACATTGTACATATATATTTGGCAATTTGTTTTTAAATCTAAAAATAAAGATTACGTGGCATAATGGTCTGCAAAAACCATGTTAATATCATAAAAATCATTTCAAAATTTTTAACAGTTTAATCCAACTGGAGCCCTTAGTTGGAGATACGTGATAGAAATATGCCGATCCCAAATCTCCTAAAAAGCAGTTTAATCATTAATTAAATGATTTAACCATAATTATTTAACCATTTACATGATTTTACAATAATTATTGTTCTTATGCTATATGTTACAGTATTGCTTTCCATCAGTAGATGTTCATGCAGTCCAGAGCAACACCAAGTAGTTTGATAGAAGAGCAAAAAATTTATTTATTAGATATGTAAGTAAGGAAAAGTTAAATTTGATATAAACCATATACTTTCCAATATTAATACTGAAAATCCAAACTATACGTGTAACATCAACTACAGATTTTCAGTATACATAGATAGTGAATATCACAATACAGATTCATACTTAACCAACTTTTATATTTAAAATATATAATTAGATGTAAATAATAATTACTGTTTTTGTATTATGTTGCAGTGTTACATTGCTTTCCATCAGTGGAAGTTCACGCAGAGCAGCACCAAGCAGTTTGATTTCTATCAAACTCTTCTGAGCGACAGCTTCATTTATTAGATACATAAGTAAGAAAAATTTAAACTTGGTATAAACTGCGTTCCAATATTTTAATATCCAGTACTGAAAATCTAAAGTGTATGTATAACATTAACCATAGATTTTCAGTATAGACAGTGAATATCGGAACACGTCATACTTAAACCCGTACTCTTATGTTTTAATATGTAATTATGTATGAAATAAACAAGGTGATTTTTATTTCGTGTGCCAATCATCTCCGTTATAATTCTCTCAGAAAGTATTGATTTATTGGAAAAATGTTTCAGATAAAGTTGGAGAGTTCAAGGAGGACCAATAGACAATTTTATTAGATTTTGAGTCCGGGACCTGAGTTAAGCCTAATAGGATCCAAGTCAAATTATTTAAATAAAAACCCCCTTTTTATGGTATCATCTTTTTCTACTAATTAATATGAACAACTTTTGTCTGAAACATTTTTTATTTGCCTTATATTTTTTGAGATATTCAAGGAAAACTTGGTATTTTTTTCAATATTTAGCTTACCATAGATGTTTGTCAATAAATGTTCGTCGGAGTGAAAAGTGGTACAGGATTTTTTGACTTGATTTGGTTTCAAGAATATACTGTTGCAATTCTAATTTCTTTAAATAATTGTGTACACATGAAAACTTCAAGAAAATGTATACACAAATATTTAAAGAAATTAGGGTATTATTGCAATAACATATTCTTGAGACCATATCAAGTCAAAAAGTCTTGTATCATTTTCCTCTCCGACAAGCATTTATCAAGATATAAGCTAAATATTTAAAAAATTACCAAATTTTTTTTGAATATCTCAAAAAGTATAAGGCAAATAAAAAATGTTTTAGAAAAAAGTTGTTTACATTAATTAGTAGAAAAAGATGATGTAGGGGAGACTGGGGCTAAGCCGACACTATTTTTTCAAAGGCAATTTTTAATATTTAATTAAAATGTTTAGGCAAATTCAATGGTATATATTTAAAGAGTGTTTCGTCAGGTACAAAATTGATTCGG